CTGTGACATCACCCATTGTGAAATGTTTTATGCTTCTGGCAATCTTAGTTCATCCAAGTGTTTCAGATATAGTGGTTGAAAAGTGTTGGTAGGAGTCTTTCTGCATTTTTTGTTTAGAAACACATACACCCTTCCAAATCCCTTTCATAACGCCTACACTCCAGTACCTACAAAGCTAAGCATTTCCAGAAGAGGAAACAACCCAAGATTTGTTCAACTGTAAAGATCAGCCAAGTGTGTATTCAATTCATGTACTTCACTCTGAACTAGAAGAAATATACTGTGGTGGTATGCGATATATATAGTCTCCTCTGGAGCTGAGAAGACAGAGAGGCTTCACTTGTGCTGAAACCACATGATTCCCCCCCCCCCCCAACCTCATGGGGGAACAAGATGTGTTGGAGAGTTAATGCTTTGAGCCTTTCCATCTTATGCTCAGGCTTCATATATGCTTAAAACACCTTGGAATTACCAAAATAAGGTGGCTCCTAAAAATGTTTGTTCAGCAGGCTTAAAAACGTGTACTGTGTGCTTAAAATGTATTAAAATTAATCCCCAATAATATTCTGGTTTTAATCTGTTATAGAATATTTAGGCATGCCAAATGACTTATATATGTATCTAATTAATTCAGACTCTTAAAGCAAGGAACCTGGAGCAACAACTCTATCATCTTACAAGTGACTATGCATGTTGTAGGCTCAGAAACAGACAAAAAATAAAGACACCAAATTCCCCCTGTTTTATTTCTGTGCCCCTAAATACACCTAGTAGGAAGTAACAGTACAACCCCATGCATGTAGAAACTGAATTACATCCCATAGAGTCTAATAGAGCGTCTTTTTAGGGTAGTGAGTATAGGATTGCAGCCTAAAGCTGTAATCTGAATATACATGTATAGAATATGCACTGTAAGGCTATTTAAACAGTAAAACCTAGCCAGGTGTATAGCAGGAATGGGGAACCTGTAGGCCTCCAGATGTTGCAAGACTCTAAATCCCTTCAGACCCAACCAGCATGGCCAATGTGTAGGGATAATGGGAGTCTGACATCTGGAAGGCAACAGGCTCCTCATCCCTGATATATAAGATGCTATTAGTTATGATAGCTAATGGAGGCTCCATGTCCTCTGAATTCCAAGGGCTTCTGTCTTTGCTATACTTTACTTTTGAGCTTCTGGATGCAGCTGGCTGGCCAGTGATGGAAACACCTTTGCCTTGATCCAAGCCTAGATCCTTAGGACTGGACTGCTGGATTAATTGAGAGAATATTATGCATTATAAATCATTTTAGGGGGGAAACCCCCCACAAAATAAGTGCAAAGTAGTTAGCAGCATAACTAGTAGCACAGCAAGCAAATGCCAGGTTTATTCTATCTAGTGCTTCCCCCCCCCTAAAAAAATGTTTCTCATTTTTCTACTCATATTGAAATACTGCCCCTTAATGAGGCCAAACTTAGATTCACAAAACATTTAGGGGTATGCGTCCCCCCCAGAAAAAAAGCATCGATTCTGTCTATTACAACTACTATAGAACTATTACTTGTCCCAAAAACTTGCACAGAGCATTTTAAAATTGTATGCATGTGTTCTGTTCTTTACACACACAAAACACATTGAACTGATTCCCCACCCCGGTTATAGTTTAATAACATTCTCCTGTAATGGCACAAGAGGCAGTTGTGGTTTTTTTGTCTGCTGTGCGGGATGCAGGAATATACGAGCGATCTGCTCAGCAGACGTTGGCCTCGTCTGCAACATTCCAAGACAAACACCAGGCCGCCCCCATCTTCTGCCGGTTGCTCCCTGTCCTACAATTCACAGCTCGTGACTCAGAGGAGGGCAGCGACAAACACACAAAATGCCAAACTAATTATTTCGCTTTGTCAGCTCGGTAAAAAGCATTATTATTTTGGTAGGAGGCTGTGTTTTCATAAAGAAAGCCTTTGAGAAAACAAAACAATTAAAAAAAAACCCTCAGTGACCTCTCTCTCTCTCTGTGTGTGTGTGTGTGTAGAGCTTTGGTTGAAATTGCCAAGTCATCAAGAACGCAGGTGCAGTTTATAACCCCTGCTGTTTGGACACTGCGATGCTGGGCTGCCTCATCCACACACACTCCCATTCCTATTTGGTTAGAACTAAGGAATGAGAAATGAAAACACGCAATGGGTCCGAAATCTCTGCTTGAATGAGCTGACAAGTTGAAGATGGTGAACATCTATACCAGCTTCTGCCAAAGGAGCTTGATGATGATGATAAGTTTTTAAGGAGCACAGTTTGGAGCCAAGTTTTCCTTTGGTTAAAAAAATATCAGTGACCATCTTCTCTGGTTTTACTGACACACTCACAGTTTTACACTTTATTCTTGCTCTTCCCCGCTTTACGTTAATGGGAAGAAACCATTATCCATGTCTGCAGGATTGAATACGCAGTGTCTGTCACTGGGCACCCGAGAAGCTCTGAAGAGGATAGGCATCTTGCACAAATATCACAAAGACACACAGAGAACGATTATGAGTTCCTCTTTATTACTTGAATGAAGACTATGCTGGATGTTCTCCCGTTTTGATTTTTAAGTAAAAGCAATGGTTTTGGTAATGCTGAAATATTTTTCAGAAAGCTCTTAGAATATTCATATTCTTATTTTAAATTGTATGCCTTTTCCTTTCTCCCCATTCATCACATGGATGATTCTAGTTATTTGGGGATACAGAATGGGATAATATCATGATTCTATGTATCCAGGCCAACCATACTTGGCCAAGCGGCACTGAGAGGCACAAACAGGGTGTCACGTTTCCATTTCCCCATAGGGGCTGAAATGGGATGGGCCATTCCTGGTGGGAGGGAAGTATGTGCAGCCTGGAGTGATTTGCTTGGGGGGATTGTTTGCTGCAGTGATGAATGATGTTCCAGGCATATTGATTCACATTTTGTGATTTATTCATTGCATTTATTGTACCCACATCTTCTGCTGGTTTATTTATTTATTCTTTATTGCATATTTTTTCTTCATTGAGGCGTGTTGCTTTTACAGTCCTACCTTGGCTCCTGAATGCCTTGAGAGTTGAATAGTCCATCTCCCAAACGATCGAAAACCGGAAGTGAGTGTTCCGGTTTTTGAATGTTCTTTTGGAAGCTGAATGTCTGACAGGGCTTCTGATTGGCAGCCAATCGGAAGCTGTGCTTTGGTTTCCAAATGTTTCGGAAGTCGAACGGACTTCTGGAATGGATTGTGTTCGACTTACTAGGTACGAATGTATTTGTTAATGCTTTATTGTTGTTATGAGCTGATTTGAGCTTAACTTGGTTCTTGGAAAAGCGCCATAAAAAAATTAAATCAAGTCAAGTCATGGCGATCCAGGGAAATGTGAGGGGAGAGGCATATGTGGTGAAGTCCCCCCACCCACAATTTCTCTCCACTGTTCTATTGTGATATTCACTCAGTCCATGGGGGAGAGGATGTACAGGTTTGGTAAAAGAACAACCTCCCACTTGGGCATCCAGATGGTATATGGGATTTTTGGCACAGATCTCACAAATGTCGCTTTTGCGAAGTAGGACACGCCAGAGGAGCAAATGCATGTTAAACCCCACCATCTGTCCATATTTAATTGAATGCTATAACCAGGTGTCCCATACAAGGAATCTAAGTGGAGGTGATGCATAAGCATCATGAGGCTGCTTTTCTTCCTTTGGAAAGGGAAGAATAAACTGCCAAAAACATTGCCAGTAGAGAACGACAATAAATCATTTTAATGCGGCGCTAGATACAGTTTTGGAAGAGGAAGAAACCAGGTGATCCAGCTGCAAGTTTAAATAGTTTGCAATTTCAATGAGGTAATGTGGTTTGAAAAAAACAGTACCTCTGAAATGATGTCTGGAGCTTATTCCTTGCAACAACTCTCATCTGTTGGTCCACTGAATAAACAGCACACTATCCCAAACCTTTGCTGGAAACAAAATTCGGTGGTCTTGTCCCTCACTGTAATTAGCCCTCTCAACAACTGAAAGCCTAGTGGATCTAAATTGCACTTATAAGACCACACAGGGCCCTTAAATGATCTGGAGATACATTGGGTTGGTGTGAGACAGAAGCAGAGTAGGATTCTGTGCTACAATTAGCAAACAATTAGAATGGCCAGGTTCATTCTTTGAGCCCTGGTGCAATGGTTCTAGGGGTTGCTCATGCGTAAGCCGGTGTAAACATCTGGCTGGGTTGCCTGAGTGAACCTTTTCTGTCCGGACAGCCACTCACCCGTGGCTGTCTCAATCGCTGGCAGAATCCGTCAGTGGGCGTTTCTTAAACTTCTTCCAGCAAAGAAGCTCTTTGACGCCTAGTCTCCTCCTACTCTCTCTGCGCGAAAGCCTTCTGCGCAAGGAGGGCGTAGGCAGCGGAGGACCTCTACTCTCCCTGCTGGTCCCCGGCAAGGAGTCATGGGACCGCCTCGCCGCTTCCCCCATCTGCCCCCCTTCTCCACTGGTGCTACGCTGATTCTCTTCCCCAGAAGATGGGCTGCCTCTCCCAATCCTGGGACGCTCTCTGGAATCCCTCTGGATTTTGCTCTCTCCCTCCGGCACTGATGGCAGTTCCCTGACACCTGGACTGGTCAGAAGAATGGCAAAGTCAGATTGAAAAAATCCAGTTTCCAAGCAAACGGCAGCGATGAGGAGGGGAATTGTGCTACAAGGGTCATTCATACAAGTACCCATACAAGCACTCGCTTGTATTGTTACCCTTGAACAAACAAATAAAAGGCCTTTGCCCAGCACGTGCTTCTTTCTGGTCTTTCTGGCTTGGAAGGTCTACAATTATTCACCCCTGACCTTTCCCAAACCGAAAAGTTCTGTATATCCATTGCTGGGCTCTTGTCCTGCAGTCAGTTTCCACCGGGAAGAAGAAACAGCCAACACAACACAAGCTTCTTGTAACAGTTTGAAGCACCTGCGCTCTGGATGCAGACACCCTTTAGCCGATTCAGTGTGTCACACACACAAGCTCCCCTGTTCATTTTCTGTGCTCTGCAATATCAAGGAGACACCGCTTTCAGCACATCTGCTTTCCATTTCCCTGGATTCTGCCTCCTCTCTGCTGTTGCTGCACGGTTACTAAAATGGTAATTTAATCTGTTCCTTTTCCTCTTGTACTCATGCAATGAAAAAAGTGATCATGACTATGCTGGATGGAGCTGAAATTCACTGGCAGAATAATGTTCTGCCACAGCTGAAGCAAGCACTATACACATTATTTTTAGGTGTGTCCCTAGGAAGATTGAAGTGGACACCTTAATGCCATGTGATGAATATGTGTTTGCAGCTATGTGTATCACAAACATAAATTTGTCAGGGATTGGTTACAGAAGGGGCAGGGAGACTTAAGGCTTGCGGGATCTACCTAGTTCCTCCACCCTAGAATCCTGAGGTCTACCAACTGTAGCAAAGTACAAATAGTGGCGTACATGTGCTAGGAATTAGGGAATAGGGTGCTTTTGAGCGTATGCTAAGCCCAGGAATCTTTTTATCAGTACCATGCTAACACATTCTTTAATACAAACCCCCACCCCTGGTTTCCCCTCCCCCTCCAGCATTCGCCTCCCTCAACCTAATTCATTTGCGGGAGGAGTTTGATGCTATTGTTGTACAATTGGGAATCAGAAACACTTCCTGATCTACTGCAAATTACCCAGAGATTTTCCCAACAGCTACCCGTCAGGTGCCAATACCCCTTAAGCAATATGTAGAGATTCAGAAGCAAAGCATGATGGATGTTGAAAGCATTTCCCCATGCTTCTAATTCTTAGCACTGGTGGAGGAAGGTGGGTGCGGGGGGGGGCATCGCTCTGGGTGTCATCCCTGAGCGGGGGTGACATTCGGCGCACAGCCTGCCCAAGACTCAGACTCCCACACCTACCTTGAGCCGTTGGGGGAAGGGGGGGAGCTGCTGCGCTGCTTTGACGGTTCCTTCCTCCCCTCTTCCTGTTCGCCTGCCTCCTTCCCATCCTCTTCCCAGCCTCCCTGCCTCCTCCAGCCGGGACCATGGCGCAGCAGCTCCCCCCTTCCCCTGGTGGCTGGTGGTAGGTGCGAGAGTCACAGGTGGGCAGTGCGCCATTGCCCCGTGCACCCAGCTGGAGGAGGCAGGCAGGCAGGGGAGAGGATGGAAAGGAGGCAGGCGAGCGAGAAGATCAGTGGGTGCGCGTGCGGCTATCCTGCTCCTGGGAGGGCACCCTCCGTGCCCCTCGGGAGCACCCCCACCCTGGGCAGCGCGGGCATATGCTCCGCCACTGATTCTTAGGCAGGAAGATGGCAATGAAGGCTAGCTTTGGATGGTTGGGCATCTGAAGCAGAACATGCAAGCAATGCCCCTGCATGATAACAAATATAAGAATTAAATAACTGGCTGTTTGTTGTTCCCTAATGACAAACCATCACCTCCTGCCTTTGACAGCTGCCTTGGTTTGCTTCATGGCTGGTTGGATCTGGTGTCCACCATAGCTCTTGGCTTGGGTTTGTTTATTGAGTCCCTTGAGCTGATGGGGGAGCCCTTGACGAGAATTCTGTTTCTCACAATGTGTGTTTACAACTGTAGCAAACATTGCTTTGTGGGTGTGGCTGCATCCGGAAAGGGAAGGTGCCATCTGTGAAATGCTGCGTCAGTGAAGCATGCTACGATGCAATATTAGTAAATCTCACCAATTGCTTTAATTGTGCTTGGCCACAAAACAATTCACAGCCTAACCCATACGTTAAACAAACACAAGGGTTCCCATTCCCTTGAGCATAGCTCCGATGAAACATGTTGTTTATAATGTGCTTATTTGCTGATTGGGAGGTCAAGCATGTTTGACATTCCCAGCTCTCTCTTAACTAGGATCTGCGCTTTGCTATCAGGCCCATCTCCCACCCTGCCCTCACCCACAGAAACCACATTTCCATTTTCTAGTGAAATGTTTACAGCTTGGAAGTTGCAGAGATAATTTTAACCATCTGCCTTACCTCCAAGAAGGGAAAGTTTTAATTGTTTGGTTTTTTTATTTTTTTATTTTAAAGAATGTCCTTTTAAAAAACTTCAGCTCCTTTTTGACACTTTAGGATCTACAAATTATGTGACTGTTTACTTTAAGCATCTGGATGTAGAAAACAGTCATTGATTCAAGGGCCCCAGGAAAGTAAACAGTGCAACACCCGCCAGTCACTCAGTTGTCACATGCAATTGGAGGTGACACAAGAGATTGCATGCCAAATACCTTGGCAGTTGGCAGGCACGTGCTCTTGTCCCACCAATGCGGGTACAAGAAGGGTGATGGCGGAACAAACCTGGTTTTTATCTCCCACCAGGCCTGGCCTTATACGACAAAAATACAAGATAGCCCCTCTGGGTTCTTTTCTGCATTATGGGCTGGGCTATCAGTGTGGCACATATAAATACGTATACCAGCACTAAGGAAGAATATCATAGCCTCCAACTTTCCTCAGATGAAAAGACATTTCTCACTCCCTCACAACTAATCATCCTCCACCCACCCCCCATTTTTGTTGCCACCGCTGCAGAACATTTCCTACCCGAAGGGAAAATGTCACCACCACTTCACACAGCAAACACAACCTCCACCATCCTGAGAAAACCCCGTAATCTCAATTTTATTTTATTCTTTGGTAGATTTACAAAAAGAAAAACACACACCAATATATAAATTTTAGAAAGGGGCAAGATTAGACACAGACACATGACATATATATACATTTAAATCAAGTCTTCTTGCACTCGGCTCTGCTCCGCCTTTCTTTCTGCCCAGGGTAGCCCTGCCCTCTGCCTGCCCCGGTGCTTCAAATGGGGTTGAACCATGGCGGTGGGAGTCTCACTTCCTCCTTGCCTGTTCTCCAGCAGTCATTGGGGGAGGCTGGCAGCAGTGGCTATGGAGAGGCCATGGAAAAGCAATAGGATGCTCCCTCGCTGCCGCCACCACTCAGGACAAGCGCCAGCTCCTCCTCCTCCTCAAGCTTGATGGCAGAATCACTAGCAGGGGAAATTGGGACATTCCAGGATGAAATCAGAAGCTGGGATGGCTTTTGTAATTCCAGGACTGTCTGTGGGAAATCAGGACTCTTGGAGGATATGGAATATTTCCTTGTCCTTTCTGGGGAAGGATATTTGAGACTTGTGGGTACTCTGGGTAGTATCGCTTGTGCTATTGTGGGAGTTGCATAACTGACAGTGGAATCTGCTTGGTCGCCCACAGTTACTGGACTACTTGAGCCTCCGTGCTTAAGAGGCTTCTGATCAGAAGGCTCCAAATGCCTGCAGTTCCTCTCTTCCGATTGGGCGATCAGTGAATTGGAACACTCTGCGGACTAGCACTTTGGTGATGTGTAACCCCTGCCCGGGAATAGCGTGAGAAATGCTCAATGGCCTTTCAGCGTCACGTGTGAAAATGCCCTGTGTGTGAACTGACTGTGTTCTAAGAGATGGCCTTTAGAAGATTTACACTGATCTGTGGATCCTGCTTTAGATAGTTTTTGTTTACTCGGCATCTGCATTCAGGCTGCCTTAGCAAACTCTTGGCTTGAGCTCCTGGTAGCTCCGAGCACCCTCTCCTGTTAATCTCTACAATTGTTTGTTTTATGGTGTAGACTACTTTGCATTGTCAGGACATCATCCCTGGACAGTGTTTTCCTTGGCAGCATTTCTAGGTCTGAATCTTGGCCTCTCCAGATTTCTCGTCATTAGCAGTCAGAAAAAATGCTAAGCAGGCTCTGGCTGTTTCTGCTCACAATTTGTGGCAACTTGCAGAGGGTTAATGAATGCCTCTCCTCCCCACCCTCCCCGGATGCTTTGCATGAGGCATTTAGGGTGACAGAAAAATTGTAACCTCCTGCTCCAGAAGCAGATGATTTAACATCTCTCTGCACCCTTTATACAGTGGTACCTTGGGTTAAGAACTTAATTCGTTCTGAAAGTCCGTTCTTAACCTGAAACTGTTCTTAACCTGAGATACCACTTTAGCTAATGGGGCCTCCCGCTGGCGCCGTGCTGCCACCGCGCGATTTCTGTTCTCATCCTGAAGCAAAGTTCTTAACCTGAGGTACTGTTTCTGGGTTAGCGGAGTCTGTAACCTGAAGCGTCTGTAACCTGAGGTACCACTGTAGTTAGACATATGCAGACGCTGAAACTGATTTGTAACTCTGTTTCCTTCACCAGCATCTTAAACCATGGGTAGCAAATGTGGTGTTGGACTGCAGCTCCCATAATCCCTGACCCTTGATCATGGTAGTGGGGGCTGATGGAGGCTGGGGTCTAGCAGAATCTGGAAGGCACCATGTTAGTTGCCTCTGTATTGGGCAGATGTATCGATTAAGAGGTTTAAAAACCTCTTTTCAGGGCACCTTGCTCTTGCAAGGCAGCAGACAGAAAATTCCATCACAAGACCTAATAATCAGTGCCGGATTTATGTCTAGGCTAAGTAGGCTGAAGCCTAGGGCCTCTAAATCTAGGGGGCCTCGCCAGCCCTCCTGCTCCCCGGCAGGCGATCTCCCCTCTCCCAAGCCCAAGACTTCATGTGAGGACAGGGCAACTCGGGCCTCTAAATCTAGGGGGCCTCGCCGGCCTGCTCCCCAGTTCCACAGTCTCCCCTCTCCCAAAATTGCAAACCCAAAACTTCATTGCAAGGGCAGGGCAACTTGGGCCCAGCAACTATGAGACTCAGGGCTAGCCAGTAGGGCCCAATTTGAAGCATTGTGACCCAACCTTTTTTCTTTTGTAGGGCCCCAGTTCACAGTCAAAGTCCACAAAATCTTATAGATATAAATAAAATCCATCTAGATTGCCCTGGTGTGGGGGCCCCTTAGGAGCAGCCTGCAGGGCCCAATTTGGCCCAATTGCTCCAATTGCCTTAAGGTCAGCCCTGATGAGTTTGTGCAGGGTTGGAATGAGAAGCCCTGCACCTTCTAGGTCCCTGGTGTCACTATTCAGAGTACAGACTCAAGGACTTGTTATGGGAATAAAGGGGGGGGCAGTGTGTGTAGGAGAGTGCCTAGCAGTGCCAAGAGATATTGATTCTGCCATTGCCCCATGCCTCTTTAGGTTGTTGCTGGACACTCAGTGTGGCATTGCCCTCATTGCAGCCCCTGTTCTGGAATTAAGAAGCTCACTGCCTCTCCCTCTTCCTGTGGAAAGCATGTAGGGTATGGTCATAGGGATAGAGAGATGCCTCTATATGCTCTGAATGTAGTGGTGAATTGGAGCTTTCAGTTTAAAGCCAGAAGAAACAACACTAGCCATTTTCTTTTTGTCTGGCCAATTTCATCATCCTCTCATCAGTGTTCACTATGTTCAGAGGAACCAGCTAAAATTAGGAGTTAGGAGAGAAAAAAACTTTCCCCCAACAGCGCTTCCCCCCACCCTGGCATCAAATCTGTACATCTATCAAGCCACCAGTGCTGGAACAGAGCTAATCCCACAGTAGCTTCAAGGGGAAAGCTGCTCATATTGCTCCGAATAATTATCTGTACTCAGCCATACTGTATTGAATTAGCTAGCATGTGGCTACTATTAATCTTTCATCCATAATCTCAGCTTGCTAGGTGGACCACAGAAGACATAACTGAGGTTGCAGTCCTATACTTGGAGTGGCTTACTTTTGAGTAGACATGCACAGGATTGTAATGTGCTGGCTTACTCCTAGGTAACTGCATGTTGCTTAAACTTCAGGCACGTTTCCATTAAGCGGAAATTCGGAGAGGAACAGACTGGAATTCAGAGCCATTCATCAGCAAATTAACCTTGGAACGACTCCTACCTTCTTGCAGCGTTTACTGGACCCATCACCTAGTTATCACAGCTGGATGGCTGGATTGTGTCTTCTCTCTGGAGTGTTATCTTGGAAGAGCATAATGGAAAGAAGAGGAAGAAGAAGAAGAAAAAGCTCCCGTTAAGATTGCGGTTGTCTGAACAGCTCTTGGCAGGAATAACAAATCGAGGTTGCCTCTGATCCTGCCAGACTTTTCTCTTTCATTAGCACAAATGTCAGTCCAGAGGAAAAAAACAAAACAAAAAACCCAACCCCATTTACTTTGGAGATGCTCTTGCAGCCTGTTGCATATTCTGTTCTGATCTGACTGGATTGTTGGCAGAAGAGGAGGAGACGGGCATAAATCACATGGGCTTTCTATCCTAGGGCATTTCTGCTCAATCTTTTGCAGCTCCAAGATCAGCTTTAAATTATTCCAGGAGGATGCTTGTTGTTGTTGCTGTTGTTGTCTGATATGTTGGATACTGTTGACTTATTCCTGTTATGTTTCCGCAATAGTAGAAAACAGCCAGAGTCTTTTGCTTTTGGCAAAAAATGCTCTTCCCATTTCAGCAAAATGTTTTTCCTAGAGGGCAATGGCTGGAAAAAAATACTAGGGTTTTAAAAAAATAATTCTCTTTCCCCCTCCCAATTTTAAATAAATTGCAATCAGCTCTACAATCCATTTATTCAAACCAGATTCTCTGAATACAAGGAGGGAAAAAGCAACTACCAATAGCCTTTGCTGAACTGGTGCCTCTTAATGGCAAAAACTTCCTTCTAACTGGAACAGCATTTCTCCTGTATCTTTCTGCTGAAGATACTGTTGTCAGGGCACAAACCCTGCAACCATAGATCAATGGGTTATTACATCCATGAGTTATTACATAACTCCCAGTTTATGCTGGGGTTACATTACAGGCACCGTATGCATAAGTGAAATAATGTATATTTGAAACACCACTGGAAAAGCCTGCAAACACCCTCTAAACCTCTGGAAACCCCTGGAAACCCCTTTAAACAACCAGCAGCACTTACCAGACGGGCATGAATGGTGGCAATAGTGGCTCTCAGTCTCCTTGCTCAAACGCTCCAAGGGCTCCTAGGATTGCACTTGCAAAGGCTTGTGGGATTGCTAGGTGCTGTTTTTACACCTTTTTTGCCCTTTCTGCGCTCTTTTAGGGCCGTTTTTGCCATTTTTAAAGTCACTTCTGGGTTCGGCGCAATGGATTATGCATCAGTTGGATGTGTGTCAATTCGTTGTTGCCCATACTTCTAAGCACCTACACACTGCTGAGTGCAATTTTGCCCATTTGTACAGTTCCTTTTAAATGTAGGACACATAGTGCACTCTCTTAAAAAAGTGATATACATCTAGTATTAAGTTAAGAGTTCTGTGTGGGCACAACTGAGATGATAAACAGATGTCAAAGGTTACCTTACCAGCTGCACATTCACAGCTACACACATGTACTAGGCATGCCCAAGGTACACACTGCTTGTTTGGGTATGATCGCCTGCACAGTTTGCTCAGAAATCATTTTTGTCAAGCAAAACACTCATATTTTCAAAAATAAAAATGAAAAAAGCTTCAAGGTGGAAGGTATGTGTGATCAGATGTAACATATTTGGAAAACAGCACTTTAAAAGATGTATAAATTGCAGGTGAAGCCAGTGCTATTTTTCTAGAGAAAAAAGTGTTGCCTCCCTTGTTCTCTTAGAATGGCACTTACCTGAGGTACCAGAACTGAGTTCCTGTGAGCTCCGGCTGGAAAAAAGTCGTGGGTCAAGCACTGCTTTCTTACTGTGTTCCTATTTCCTTCCCTTTGGCTATCTGCCTGCAGTTACCTGAATACACTTTGATTCAAATGATTACAATGCTGCAAGTCCATTATGAATGAATTGTGGCTTATCCTCCTCCTTCATCCGCAGCAACGAGAGCACATGTTGCTTTATCAAAAGAGAACTGAGGCATTTTGTACATATTACAGTGAGTGAGGTGGTAGAATTCCATTTACTGTGCCACTTCAGATTTCAGGTGTGGTTGGTGGGATGTCACATCTGAATGCTCACTCGGATAAAATAAAGTTCTTGTGTATGTAGTAAAACTCACACGGGTGAGTTTTACTAGGGATGCGGGTGGTGCTGTGTTTTAAACCACTGAGCCTCTTGAGCTTGCCAATTGGAAGGTCGGTGGTTCGAACCCGTGCAACGGGGTGAGCTCCTGTTGTCCTTTCTCAGCTTCTGCCAACCTAGCAGTTTGAAAGCATACCAGTGCAAGTAGATAAATATGTACCACTGCGACGGGAAAAACGGTGTTTCTGTGCGCTCTGGCTTCCGTCACGGTGTCTCGTTGCACCAGTAGTGGTTTAGTCCTGCTGGCCACATGACCTGGAAAGCTGTCTGTGGACAAACACCAGCTCCCTTGGCCTGAAGCAAGATGAGTGCCGCACCCCATAGTCACCTTTGGACTTAATTGTCCAGGAGTTCTTTACCTTTACATTTATTACCTAAAACTCACACACCACAGAATTATGCAGAGAGGAAGTGAGCATTGCCAGAAAGGAGGAGGAGGGGTTACACTGAGGACCCCTTGAGCAATAGTCCCCCAAAACTGGACATGAGACTGATAGAGGTTGCTTCAACACTGCTCTTGGATGTACATTTGGAGTAATGTGAGACGTTTCGGTCTATGTGGGTGGAACAAGCACTCTTGTTTTTCCCTGCATCTGTAGCAACTTTCTGGGAAGTAAGGTAATGTCTACTTTCAGGAACTAGGTTAAGCCTAGAGTGGTGTAGGCTGCATTGCAGTGTTTTATAGCATCACCCTCGCTGTTGGGCTGCCATCTTAAAAGTGTCTTGGGAAGTCCTACTTGCTGAGACATCATTCACCACATTTGAGAGTTTGTGTAGCTTCGCTAATGGGGGGTCATGCACAAATGGCTCTGGTAATTACTTGGCAAAGAAATAGCTCTCCCTTCTATTCTTCAGGGCTAATAACACAGGGAATTGTTTAAGAAGGTGGATGAGGTATGTCTTCACTAAATATTGATTGAAGAGCCCACAATATTTGCTTCTTTTACTTCTGCACAGCTTAAGGTGTGTGCTTGTTTGCAAATGGAGGGATCAGGTCCCCGGAGTCCTGTTATTTGTAAAGGGAACAATGCTCTTCCCGTGAGATTTCACAGGAATTAGAACAGCTCATTTACACTTGTCGGAAACCTCCCAGGAAGTGTATTTGGCCATGTGTGAGTACAGCCACTCAAGGGCAATCCCTTCTTTAGAGTTAGCTATGCACGCTTCAGTAATGAGGTGCGAATTAGCACTATTGCTGACATCTTTACTGCATCCTTCAGGACCTGGACACTTGTATATCATTCAGAGCCTTCCATCCTCAGTCACAAAATTGGAGTTCTGCATATACTTGACATCATAAACAATATTTCAGGGGATATGAGGCATGTGTTGTAGTCAGGCACATTGAATTAACTGTCAACAGACTTCTTTAGCTTTCAGGCTATAACATCTACTTGGCCTAGGAGAAAACCTGGTGTAGGCCTGGTTCAGGACCTCTGCCAGTGAACCATATAGAATCCTGTTTAACAAAACAAATTAAGCCTGCAATTCTATGCATGAGTGTTCAGCAACCTGGTACCCTCCAACTGTAGTCCATAGCAGGGGCTAATGGGAGTTGTAGTCCAAAACTTCTAGAAAGCACCAGGGAGTTCTAGAACACCATGAGGTTCTAGAATGCACTGATGGGCGTTGCGGTCCAGAGCTCCTAGAGCGCGCCAGCTGGGGACGGTTGCTTTGTACACCAACTTGTAAGCCCCATTGAATTTAATGGGACTAATTTATGAAGAAGCTTGCATAGGATTATTTTGCTACTTATGAACATGTGTGTGGAGCCTGAATTTCATGGTTAAGGTTCCACATACAACACAAGGCAAGCATAAGTTATTGATATCTAGTATGGTATGGTGTCCTCTCTCACAGTAATGTAGATGGAATAGATGCAAAGATGGCACAGAAGTCAAGTGTGTGTTTGTGCAGAGAGTATTTCCCCCAGATCAAGCAGGGAAAGAAGAAAATGAAAAGGAGTATGCTGCATTTCTCTGAAAACTTTGGTTGTTTGATTCTCTCTCTCTCTCTCTCTCTCTCACACACACACACACACACACACACACATGAAGGAGATAGTTCAGTCTGGAGAGCATGAGATTCTTAATCTCAGGGTCATGGGTCCGAGCCCCACATTGGGTAAAATATCCCTGCATTTCAGGGATGGACTAGATGACCCTCATGGTCCCTTCCAACTCTACAATACTGTGTTTCTATTTATTCAGGCAGCCAGATAATTATTTGAACTGCCTCGTGTAATACAGGGCCATTATATTACATTGGCAATTGCAGAGTTATTTATTGTAAAATATTGTAAAAAAAAAAAAGCATTAAAATATAAACATCCATACTTAAAATATACAACAACACAATCCTATTAAAACACTGAAATGTAAACATGATAGTTAAAATACACAATAAAAGAATCCTAATTTTAAAAACACAGGAATCAAAACAGAAGAGTCGGATCAAGAGATCAAAAGAATGCCTGTGTAAATAATAATTATTATTGGTAATTAAATTTCTATCCCGCCCTTCCTCCCAAAGGAGCCCAAGGCAGCAAGCAATACAAACATTATTATTTTTCAAATCAACTTTTCATCTAAAACATACCTATCAGGTCTTTCAGGGTGTAGTCAGAGGGAATCCAGGAATCAGGAGTTGTGCCAGGGAATGAGAGGCAAAGGTCTGAGCCAGAAGTCAGAACCAAAGAACTCACTGGAACTGGGAAGACCGTAGCTGTTGCTGTACACACAAAATCCAAGCTCAGCCAGGAAGCCCTTGATGGTTAACCCTCCTGGTCTCGGAAGGACCAATGGGCAGCCTGGGTGCCCTGGAAGATTTCCCACTCTCTGAATGTTCTGAGACAGCATGCTAAATTTATTTTTAATATTGCATTTAAATATCCAGTTTAAGAAAAAAGAGAGAGGCTACTTTAAATACATATTTTGAGTCAAAATATGTATTTTGAGATGAAGCACGCATTTAAAATTTGTTTTGAAATGCCTACTTTAATGCACAGGATTAAAAAAATGTGTAGGCGAATTCAGAAACGGAATGGAATTATGGATAAAAAACATATGAAAGTGGCACAGGAAGGAAAAAGGTCAAACTTGCCCATGCTTATAACTGAGCACTTCTTCTGTTATCCATTTACGATTTCAGAAAGTGAGGTCCAATAGGATTTAACTGTAACTGTCCTGTGCAGAATGTCATGGGCTGACTTGCAGAAATAACATGACAACCCACATTTGCACTCTAGCCCTGTTCTACTTTTCTTTTAAAACAGCAGTTGCTATAGTTCCAGCTTTGGCAGAAACGTCTTCCCAATAAACCCCCGTTTTAAAGAGGGAGCCGTTACAAGGCAGTTGCTCTGATTTCACATCACGCCGGAGCTTGGCAGGCAGCCGTCCATCTGCAGAAACCATCTCCTTTTCGGTCCTCTGAGCATTAGCAGAGTGTGCACAGCTTTTCACACTGGAGAATTATCAGCACAGATGCAACGTCCTTAAATTGCTTTTTATGGCTTTTAAAGACAATGGGGCATTATTGCAATGCAGGATGGAGCCAAAAAGCCAAAATGCTTCAGCTCTGCAGGTACACACAACGAATGCCAAAGAACCCAATGCAAAGCTGCTGGTCCCCGCCCCGATTTCTTGATATGTTTGGTTTTCATTTTCTGCCTCAGTCCCACCCCAGCACTGCCACATTTCTTCATAATACAATAATAATAATTTATTATTTATACCCCACTCATCTGGCTGGGTTTCCACAGCCACTCTGAGCAGCTTCCAACAAAATATTAAAAATACAATAAAGCATCAGACATTAAAAACTTCCCTAAACAGGGCTGCCTTCAGATGTCTTCTAAAAGTCAGATAGTTGTTTATTTCCTTGACATCTGATGGGAGGGCGTTTCACAGGGCGGGTGCCACTACCGAGAAGGCCCTCTGCCTAGTTCCCTGTAACTTTGCTTCCCACAGTGAGGGAACTGCCAGAAGGCCCTCGGAGCTGGACCTCAGTGTCTGGGGGTGGAGATGCTCCTTCAGGTATACTGGGCCCTCCCCCAAGCTTCCCCTGCTCCCTTCAGCATTCGCACGTAAGAAAAGTGAAGGATGAAGAAGTTCCTCCTTGGTCACGTGTGATTTCTTGGGTAGAACCAGCCCTTCTTCCCCCACAACACTTCACACTGGCTGACCGGCTTGAAAAGAGAAAAAGGGGAATGCATGGCTGGGCCCTTGGAGACACAGGTCCCAGGAATCATATGTCAGAACCAGAGGTGGGTTATAGGGAAACTTTGCCTGCAGGCCAAATGCAGCCCTCCAGGCCACTCTGTCTGGTCCTCAGGCTCCTCCCAGGGCCATGACCCTCACCAGCTTTGCTCTGCATCCTCTTCAAGGTTTTTTTTTTACAGCTTGGAATGTTTCCTTCAACTGTGATGATGCTTCTTGCTTAACAGGATTAAGATTTTTGTTTTGTTTTGCATAGCAGCATAGAAACCTCTGGCTTTTGCCCAGATGGTCATTCTTTAAGGCAGTTTGCTCCACTGCTTAACTTTCCCAGCATTTCTGATATGTGAGGTGCACTTGTTTCTCTGAATTAAAGTCAGAGACACTGATATTCTATTATTGTCAGTATACTGATGGTTGCTGGTTTAGCTGGCCAGTCAAAGTTGTTCCTGGGGTGTGGGTGCTGTTCAGGGCTGGATTTAGGTTTGATGAGGCCCTAAACTACTGAAGGTAATGGGGCCCTTTATATGTCCAGCTGTCCTTTGTCAACAACAAATTGTCACTGCTTTTTGTGTTGAATATATGCTATATGGTAATTTATGAACCTAATAGGTATCTAAAGCCATTTGCACATAACAAAAATGTGTTTTATCAAAGTAATTGTTGAACTGAAATACAACTAAGAAGAAGTATAAAGGTAAAGGTAAAGGGACCCCTGACCATTAGGTGCAGTCGTGGCCGACTCTGGGGTTGCGGCGCTCATCTCGCTTTATTGGCCAAGGGAGCCAGCGTGCAGCTTCTGGGTCATGTGGCCAGCATGACTAAGCCGTTTCTGGCGAACCAGGGCAGCGCACGGAAACGCCGTTTACCTTCCCGCCGGAGTGGTACCTATTTATCTACTTGCACTTTGACGTGCTTTAGAACTGCTAGGTAGGCAGGAGCAGGGACCGAGCAATGGGAGCTCACCCCATCGTGGGGATTCGAACCGCCGATCTTCTGATAGGCAAGCCCTAGGCTCTGTGGTTTAACCCACAGCGCCACCCATGTCCCCAAGAAGAAGTATATTAATAGTGAAATACAATTAAGAAGTATATTTTTTGGGTCCTCCAAGAGAGTGGGGCCCTAAGCTATACAGTGATATCTCTAGTTGCAGACACGATTCTTTCCGGGGTGCCATTCACACCCCAAAAGGTCTGCAACTAGAGTGGTGCTTCTGTGCACTTCCAGGTTTGCTGCGTTCGCAAGCCGAAAAGACACATGACTGTAGCTTGTTTAACTTATACGTAAATCCAGCACTGGTGCTGTTGCATGCTGACAGCTTCTAGGAGCCACCGGTGAGAGCTCAATGCAGGGTGAAGAAAAGGCTAAGGCGTAAACCCTACACAAATCCAGAGTGGAGTCCCTAAGACGGTTGGATGGCGCCTTGTGTTCCTCCTTCTGGCAACTTGTGTAGCCAAGCTGGTATTGCTCAGCTTTCCTTTGGACCACATCAGTGAGGCTGAGAGGGAGGTCTTATAATCTGGGCAGCCCAGAACCTTCATACACACTGCCCATGGTTGTGCCCTTGGAAGGTCGGTTCAGTACTGCTAACAGAGTGGTTTGACTTCACCCCTGGAGGTGCATTCAATTGTTTCTCAAGACAGACGAATGCCAACAACAACTGGTGGTTGCTTTGACCAGGCTTCAGCCATTAAGATCCAAAGGCTTTTTACACATGGCATTCTATCAATGGAGGCTGGGTACATGTTTTTTCTATGTACACACACAATTGAGATCTGGTTTCATTGCAAAAATAAAAGGTAATTGCAGATTAATTCTGCGTTACCCTGCAGTGTATCCATTTGAATATGGATGAAAACAGATGTTGTCAGTCCTGGCAATGGGTGTGTGTGTGATGTTGTGGGTGGGTGTATACCAAGATCACAATCACCACTTCCTTCTCCATTCACTTGGGGAAAGTACAGAGACGAAAAGGCATGGAGGATTTGCAAATATATAGCAAGGAATCACACCCTGCATACATTCCCCTTGCAGTGGCCTGGACACTCCTCATGCCTCAGCAGAATTGGGATTTGCATCAACTTTCTGGCCTCAGAACAGAAAACTTGAAATGACTTACACGCTGAAAAATCCAGTCTCCGAGGCCCGGAATGTGCAGATCTTGAAATCCTTTGCTATGACAGAGAACCACAGCGAATCAGCAAGCTAGAGGGAAATGGAACAAATGTAGCAGCTTGTAGTTTTCTTCTCCCAGGTCTTCCCCTGCCTCACTTCCCTGTGAGAAACTTTGTCAAGGGAAAACCCAACATGCTTCTGCAGAAGGAAAGTTGAGCTTTCTCCTTTTTAAAGGAGCTTCTCTCATCTTCTGACTCCTGAACACTGTCTCTATCAGGCTCATGCCGGCACCTGCCATGATAAATAAACTGCATCAGGAATTGTCTTCTGGCCTCCTTAGCTGGTAGAGGGTAGTTTTGGGGAAGGTCTGTAGCTCAGTGGTAGAGCATCTCCTCCTCATGCAAAAGGTCCCAGGTTTGGTCCTCAGCATCTCCAGGTAGGACTGGGAATGTCCCATGTCGAAAATGGTGGAGAGCTGTTGCCAGTCAGCGCAAACAATATGCCGAGCTAGGTGGATTAGACCCGACTCAGTATAAGACAGTTTCATATGTCTCTGTGTTCAGGATAATAGAAAGAAGCAATAGCAAAAAAATCAGAATAATTTCACAACATTGTGCCTGCTCTTTGAAAGCCCAGTAAACGTCTCTTTTTTCCCCAAAGGCAAGAGTCAAACATGAAACTTGCCAACCTTTCCTTTCCTTTCCACCTATAGAGGCAACTTTTGTCTTTTGCCCCATAACCTGGGTTCATGCCTTCTGCTTTCCTTTGTACCCACCATTTATGCTTGATCATACGGGCAAGAAAAGTAGAGATTTTGGAACCCCAAAAAGAAACCTTGACCTGTTTTTATGCAACAGCTCACATCTGGGACTTGTGGAACTGGATTTAGACTGACATTATTTAGATTCCTCTTTTGATATTTTATTTAAATGAATGTGGTTAGAATGATCTTTGGCTGGTAGCAACTGCAGTACCAGCTGAATAAATGAACAGGCTGCCCAGGGAAATTTTGGAATATTTCTCTTGAGGTTTTGAAACACGAGTCATGAGGAGCATTGGGCAGGGTTGTTTGAAGGTTAATAGATCCTTATCTTGATGTTGACAAAAACCAGGATGTTTTTATTGAAGTCCCCATAAGTTCTGTGTGTGTGTGTGTGTGTGTGTATGTGTGTGTGTGTAGTGGTTAGGGTGTCAGTGGAAGGTCTGTTCTGCTATGCAAGGAGAAATCCTTGTGCATACGGAATGATAGACTTAGCACTACATTGACTTCCACCTACAGAATATAATTTTGCTGAGCTGAAATACCTAGAACAAGAATTCCATGCTGTTGGTTGCCAAGACAG